AAGCAGTTAAGCTCGCTGTCATATTTATTTGGCCTTTTGGCATTAAAGTTTTATGTTGACTTCATAATTACTAATGTTTAGAGCACAGATTTTTTGTGTACATGCTTGGTTTTTTTGACCAGATGGAAGAAAATGTCTGGTCACTAACTTGGGCCATTTAGTTGGGTCCTTAACCCACTGATTCAACAGTCAGTTTGGATCAGGAAACCTATCCCCATTGCTATGTGTTAATTTATTAATCTGAGATAATTTATCTTTTGATGACAAAAGAACTTTGGAGAGTCTTGCTGTTGCTCCCCTTTTTAACCAATTTATGCATATTATATTACTCATATAAAATAGTTGGCCTATTTACATGTAAATGTTCAAGGTCAGTTGAAAAATACATTTAAAGTTGAATACTTTTGTTTACAATGCATGTCACTATCATCCCATACAAGAAAAACAGAATTAAAAAATTGTTGTTATTACAGATCTATGGTTTGTTTACAGATATGTTGTTAACAGGGTTGTGTTACAAAAAAAGATCACACACTACTGGTGAAAATAAAATGCATCTTTTGAGAGAACATTCTTCATAAGATTCACTGAAATATCCATATTTCTGGTAAATGTAGTCTAGGCAAAAATGTTCTTACATTGTCATTTTCACTGAATTTGAATTAATCAATTTATTCTATATTTCTTTCAATCTATGATGCTCAGCTTGAATAGCTAATCTTGCAGATGTATTCTGGGTTTTTTAAAATATATTGGATTTTTTTCTTCCAGTTACTTAGGGTGTCCATGTCTAAGGATACCATGGCTGAGTTACCGTGGACTTTAATTTGAAATCTGTAGGCTTTCACTGGACAGAATCCCAAAAAGTTTGCAGGACATTTATTCTTTTTTCTATGTAACTGGGGACTTGTTTTAAAGGTTCTCGTATTAGATTCTGGCATAACATACTGTATTACATTAGGTGAACTGATGTTCATAGTGTTGTTTTTTAAAAAATTATAATTGATATGTTTTATTCCCCTGGGAAATTCTCTTTACGCCTCCCCCAACTTGCTCTCTGTAGGTAAGAGCACGCGAGCCATGAAAAGCAGCCACCCATAGCAGAACCCAGTCAGCAGGGGGTTAAGGGTCTTACTCAAGCACCCACAGATGTGCTAAGGCCAGGCTCAAACCAGTGACCTTCCGATCACAGGCACAGAGGCTTAGATCACTGAGCCACACACTGTTTAGTCAGGGCAAAACTATATTTCCTCATGGCATCATTTAATTTAGAATTGGTTGTTGTATTTCAGGGAGACCAGGAGAATGACGCCTGGATCTTCGCTCTCGCCATTCTTTTGAGCAGCACTCTGGTCTACAACAGTAAAGGTACTATAGACAACCAAGCAGTGGAAAACTTACAGTATCCTTTCTTCTGTAAATATAACTTATTTTAAGTCAAAGGTGGCTCTTATGAAAACCAAGTTTATAATGTGGGAGCAGACATTAGCTCTCACACCTACCCAGGGGTCAAGTTGACCCCAAAGGCATATGTCAGGTGACTTCTCATAGTAACACAATTATTGTAGGAGTGTGTAAAAGTTAGGTAAATTTCCCCGATTGGTACCAGAGACCTTTGGTGCCTACTATAAGAAAAGGCAGCTGCTGGTTTGTTATGTTGTATTGGATTTATTAAAGAACAGTTGTTCTGTAAAGATACTCATTATTAGGTCCTTCAATGGTGTATGTTACTGGTAGTTAAAGGGATTCAGTTTCTTAGGCCAACACAGAATTGTTCCTTAACATACATAGATATGTCACAGAGTTGACAGATCGGATCAAGGTGAAATCACCAGCCAATGCTTCATCTGCTGAGGATGATGATGATGATGGGGCAGATGTACAGTTTGTGCAGTTCTTTCCCAGTTTTGTGTGGGCTGTTCGTGATTTCACTTTGTTGCTGGAAATTAATGGAACGGAAGTAACTGCAGACAAGTATCTGGAACATGCTCTCAGCCTTAAAAGAGGTAAGAGAACATCAAAGATACACAGTTGAATTAGACCATCAGACTTTACCATGCTTTTGTGTCCAGAGAAAGATGGTGCACAACACAAAATTAATGGTCACTGGTGTGAAGAATCTGATTTTTTATATACATATTACATCTGAGAAATGAATGAAATTAAATCAATATGACACTAAAATGACAAATACATCTGTAGAGACCTGTCACCAATTAAATTGTCTTATAAGAGCTTACATATTCTACACCAGTTGGTAACAATAAAACAAATCTAATCTGGCAACCAGTTACTTCACTGCCAAATTTTCTTGCCATTTCGTAAAGGAACTTGGCGAAAATGTTGGTCCTTTGTGAAGGTGGCTGCATAGACCAATTTTGAGTGATGTAATGATTACGCCACAGGAAGTTGCCACACAAAGTGGTGGCAAAAAAACAGAAGAAACAAACAGAGGCGAATGGGCAAAGACCCCAAAGTAAAGTAGGAACATGTCATGTTGTGTGGTTGGTTGCCAAAATAGAATTGAAAAAGCAGCGACTTTCATTTCATTATGGGATACCGCTGTTTAGATGACATTTGAAGTGAAACAGACATTTATGGCACATGCAGGCCCCTGATGTACTTTCTGTATCTGTTATTCTAGCCTCACATACAGCTCAACCTTAAAAAGCAGTGCTGCTGCAGTATATAGTTCCTCATAAAAGCTTCTAAATTCATTATTAATACCTATCTGATCTATTGTTAGCCCAACTGGAGTTTGAATATCTGATATATTCAATGTGTTTTCCTTACCAAATGCTTTGCCCTCTCCCCAAATTCATATTCCCTCTGCCTATACCTCAAATTGTGCCCCTCTTCCATGGGACATAACCCCATGAAGGGTAAGGGGAAAAACACAACTCAACAAAAATGTATTAGAATATAAGAATATAAGATCCCTGGCTGGCCTCTTAACTACGAAAGGGCTGCTAACACCTCCAGTCATCTCCCGACTCAACAGAACAGGCCCAGCCTTCCACCAAAATATATTATGTAGACAGTATACTTTCTATTAGTACTGTTGAATAGACATAATCTATGCTTCCCATTTTCACTGAACAACAACAACAAAACAATGAGTCAGAACTAGTTGTCCCAGTATCTCTTCAGTTCACAGACAGTAGTAGCTCAAGAATAAAACAAAAAACCCTGGAGTTGCATGAACTGTTGCATTTTACATTTTAACATAACTGTTCCCACCAGCCATTCCATTGATTAACATGAGCTACATTCAACAATGGAGCTATAACTTGAGAAAAGTTATGTCCTCTTACTTTAGTGGGTCCTCCCTAACTTTACTATGATGTTAGCCTCTCCTTTAAAAACTTAGCTGCTTGCTCCAGAACCCTGAAGCTTCGTGGCTTCTCAGCTCAGCTGGGTAGAACAGGCCATAATATATTCCCTCACAGCATTTCAGTAGCCCACACACTCTCTTGAATGCAGCCCATTGCCTGATGACTTTTGTAGGTCCAGGTGAATCTGAACCATGTCGCTGTCCATAGTCTCAATTTCCTTCATCTGTGTAGCCTTTCTCAGCCTTAATTCCTGCTCAAGGAAACAGTGAAATGCCACCACAAATGCGCTGGCAGGCAGGCCATCATCTGATCTCACTCTCAGAGGATGATGTGCTCGGTCCAAAATTGTCAAGCGCTAGGACTTCCTATAATGAAATAAAGACAACCGTCCATTTTCATCTTCCTGTCTCTCTTTAATCTCAGTTATATGCAAACTGCATTGAGACCTCACCTCCAGGTTCACATTCATTTCCTCCAACTTGACAAAATTCTGTTTCAATTGTGCCGCTTCTTGTTGGAGAGTAATAATACTTTTTGAGTGGCCATTTTCCACCTCCTCCAGAGAAAGCACTTGCACCTCCAGTGCGGTTTCCTTTATGTTTGCCTGATCAACTGCATTCTTATCTTCCTCTCATAGCTGGTCACATTGAACTCTTATTTCTGTGGCATGTGCCTCTGCCTTTTCTTCAATTTCCTGCGGACACTTGGTTTTCACTTCCCAGAGTTCACGGAGGATCACCTCTTGACACACTCGAATATTAGACTGGGATGTTATACATTTATAAAGAGTATGTTTTAATTAAAATTAAAAAAAATTGTTGAAGAGCTCAGCCTTCACACGTCTTCACGTCGCTGTCTAAACTGGATACACCAACCTGTAATGATTAGTAGGTCTAGATAATACTCAAAAATATAATTCAGAGGGCACACTGAATTAGCCCTACAGCACAAAATAATATGAAGACCTATGCAGAAAAAGTCAAATTTTTTCATAGACATTTTGACGTTTTTATATATCTATATTATGTAGCTTATTTTAATTTATTCTATATTAATTGTTTATGTAATTGTTTATTCTTACTGCTTCTACTGTAAACCAACAGTATGTCCTTCAGGATCAGTACTATCTGTCTGTCTGTCTGTCTGTCTGTCTGTCTAAAAATTATAACAACAGCAGTAGTAGTTTCAGTGATGAATGGAAAAAATGTATATTCACCCAGTCATGCAAGTGCAGTTTGCTGTCAGTATATAATTGTTCAATTTCCTAATAATTGCCAATGTTTTGTATAGTTTCGTTTAATGTCCTTGCTGCTAGCTAGGCAGTTCGTTGGTCCATAGTACACAAAGTACAGATCTGGCTCTTTCTGCCACCACTTATGCTCCACCCACAAAAGAAGTCATCTTATCTGCAGACACGAAAGTGGTCTACACTTCAAATGATATTGGGACAAAACTAAATTTAACTATGTTGGCAAGAACAATCTATTGCATACTTAAAAAACAAGGTCTTGTACATTCAATGTCATGGCATAGCAGACTTTTTTTGATGAAGCAAACCCACATAGAGAATGGAAATAAATGTATGCTTATTTGCAATTTCTACCCATGAATTGCAGTTCGTCTGCATCTTTACAATCTCTACATGATTTGTCATATAAATGGGGATAACTTTGCACAAGGTCAGCAAGTCTCCCTTCAAAGGCATTCATGATTGCAAAGCCTTTTGTTTTTACTTCCAGTACATTTCAGGGCACTAGTGACACAAAAGACCATATGTTTTGTGTAGCCAATCATGGACAGTGGGTGGGATCAAAACAAACAAGAAAGTTAGTCTTGGGGGCTCTACACAGGCACTGTGCCATACAGAAACTGTGATCACCAATCATACGTTGTATTGTTAAAATGACATAAATGATGTTGTTTTCGTTTTAAATAGTTGGCCACCTTTAGAGTATATACTTCATAATAGACTGACAATGTGCTGCAATGCAAAGACTTGAACATGTTTCTCTGTTTAGGAAACGACAAGAAGACTGTAGCCTATAACCTCCCCCGAGAGTGCATTCGGAATTACTTTCCAGAAAGGAGATGTTTTGTGTTTGAAACGCCTGCAGCTCCAGAGAAAATGGCCCACCTCGAGTCCATGGATGAAAATCAGCTCAGTTCATCATTTAAGGCTGTTACTTTGAAATTCTGTGACTATATCTACAATGAAAGTTCAGTAAAAAAAGTGAAAGGTGGACTCCCGGTCACAGGAAGGAGTGAGTCATGACAACTGTAGCTCTGTGTTGCATTTCCTGTTTTAAAAATATTGCTTTATGTGTAATGAGTTAACAGTGTTAATTACTAAATTGGACCTTATGACAGTAGTTTGGAGGACAAAATGTTTTTGGATTATATCCATTTCTATTAGATATTACATAATAATTATAGATTTTGAATAATTTGAATAATAATTCATATGTAATGAATTAATGTTATTAATTATTACTTTGGACCTCATGACAGTAGTCTGGAGGGTAAAGGTTTTTGGATTAAATAAATTTCCAATAGATATTATATAATAATTATAGATTTTGAATAATTATGATTTACATATACACTGTTTGGTTTCAGTGCTTGGCCACTTGGCAAAGACCTACGTGGAGACCATTGCTAGTGGAGGTGTTCCCTGTCTGGAGAATGCTGTGCTGGCCATGGCCCAGATTGAAAACCAGGCAGCTGTGCAGGAAGGATTGCAGGTCTACAAGAAGGGCATGCAGGAGATTACCTTCCCAGTAGACATGGAGGAGATGTCCAGGAAGCATGGACAATGGGATTCCCAGGCCATCGAAGCATTCAGAAACCGATCCTTTAAGGATGAGAATGGTGAATACATGAAAACACTAATGGTAGGTTCCAGTCCCAGCCAGCTTATAATGATACTGATTTAAGGTTGATGAAAGCATGTAAACTGCAACAGAATCTGTGCTGTGTTCATAGGAAGCCATCAAAGAAGCTTATGCTGCTTTTCTTGCTGAAAATGATAAATCCTCAGAAGGTCTTTGCAGACAGTTGCTTTCACAGCTTTCTGAGTCAATAGGCAAGAAACTGGAGAATGGGTTCTATGCTAAACCGGGTGGGTATGACCTTTATTGTGTGGACCGCCAAGACTTACTGGATGAATACAACAGAGCACCCAACAAAGGAGTCAAGGTAAGAACTACGGTTAAATCTGTCTACAGCCCTAAATGACTTGGTTTTGCTGATACACTGTGTGCCTTTCAAAAGCTGAACAAGTAACTGAAATTTATTTCAAAATAGCTTTGAATTACAGAGTTAAGTAAAATTGTTGTTAAAGAGGTGTTGTTGTAAGTAATTGAGTTTGTATTATAGATCAGAACTTGCTTTGCAATGCATTAAAATCCTAGCAAATAATGTTTTACCAAGCATATATGATCTTATGTTCAGGATGTACTGGAATTGGTAGGTTTCAGGCCAAATACCAAAATCAATAAAGTTTTTATCTGTGTTGCTGAAATTGGGGGGTTTAATTAAATCGTAGAATTTCATTGTATTAAGCCCCTTTGTCTGTTATGATCTTTTCATGTCCTGATGGATTTTATAGGCGGAAGAAGTCCTAGAGAACTTTCTAAAGGAAAAGAGTGCAGAATCTACTGCAGTCAGGCAGGCTGATAAGCAACTGACTGAGAAAGAGAAGAAAATCCACGGTAAGGTTTTATGACAACTATGCGGAACAAAGGTCTGACCTGTTTTTATTGAGTAGTGCCGTCGATTATATATAATAATTAGTTACATAGGATATGTTCATGTTATACCTGTTCTTTTTTTAATTCCGCCACCAACTCCCTTGTTTTTAATTTCCATAGAGAGCTCAATACACACCCACCCACCCCTGCACCCTATCACCATAATAATACCCAGATCATCATACATACTGTAGAGACAGACATCTATGAGGAATGAGATCAGTTATCAAGAATGAGACTTTGGTGAAAGTTTGTAGCGTATGTGTGTGTGTCTCTATGTCTGTGTCTGTGTTTGTGTGTAAATACAGGAGACAGAATCAGAGGGGTTAATTGACAGGCGAGTCTAATGAAATGATCAAGGAACCCCAAACTTTTTCATAGTGTGAGGATTGGTGTTGGAGGGTAATCTGTTCCATGTATTGTTTGAGAAGGTTTAACCATCACGTGATATTTAACGTATGTCTTTTTTCCCAGTATATTTAATGTATGTATTTAATGTCTTTTTTCCAGTAATCAGTGCATGTTCCTTACCTCTTTTTTCCAGTTTAAGAGGATATTTTTCTTGGCAATAGTTTAGGGAATGAGTATGGATTTTGAATTTTGGATTGGTGGGTTTATTATTGAAAGATCTCCAAGTAAATAGGGATGGAGATAGTGGAATGCTACAGTTCGACATGAGACATTATGTTAATGACCTCTTGTCAAAAATGTTGAAGACGAGGGCAGAGCCTGGTAGAGTGGTAATAGTCATCTTGGGTGTTTGACATGCAGGATGAACTTATGTCAGAGTCTGTATGTTCCATCTTATACAACCTGTGCTGGGTGATGTGAGATCTATGAATTACCATGTACTGTATTAGTTGTACCTTAGTGTTGTTAGTCATTGTTAAGTTCTTGCAAATTTGGGTCCAGAATTCTGTATTGGTTGTAATTGATAAGCCTTCTTTCCAGGTTGTGATTGGGATGGGAATTATTGTGTCCACAGTTGTAATATCAGTATATTTTGGAACGGATCTTCTTTTGGTTAGTTATTTTATGAATTTGTTCTACTAATGGGGATGGGAGTAAATTATTTGACATATTGATTTTAGATGTAAGAACAGACTTTAATTGGAGGTACTGAAGGAATGCTTCCTTCCCCATGTCGTAGTCCAGTACTAAATGTTGAAAAATAATGAAGCTGTTATTCTGGAAAAGGTTTGTGATATCACTTTGTTTCCATGTGTTAAAGGTAAGTGATGTTTTGTTGAATAGAAGGTCCAGGTTGTGCATTATTGGAGTGTATTTCCAGGGTCACAAGGTATGTTTGATGTCTTTGTTGATTTTCCACCAGGTGTCACACCCTTCTTACTCTGTCCTCCTGATCCTGACATACATGCCATGCCTGGTGCTCGTTTGTCTTACCTCTTGTTCCTGCCCTCATGTTCACATATTCAATACTGCCTCTTTTATGCCCCTTTGTTAGTCTAGTATTTAAGTCCTGAGTTCCCCAGGTTGGTCATTGTTGCTTGTCTGTGCTCCCGTACCTGTAATCCTTATCAAAATAAAGTCCCTTGTGATGGTTTATTTAGCACCATGGCTGCATCTAGGTCATGCTTTCCCTTTGGTGTGACACCAGGCTGTCAGGGTTATCACAATTACAGTTAAATCATATATCATATCATATCATATCATGATGAATGATGATCCCCGTGGAGAAGTTCTCTTTTCAACCTACCCCATCTTGCTTGGCAGTGAGGGCTGCCACCCATAGAGGCGCCCAGGGAGCTGGGGGTTAAGGGCCTTTTCATTTCATTAATAAACCATTACTTCCTTAATCGGTAGAGTACATGATTTTTAATATAATCAATAATTACAGGCATACTACTGTATATATACAGTGGTACCTCAGAACTCGAACTTAATCTGTTCAGAACTCGGGTTCGAATCCTAAAAAGTTTGAGTTCTGATCCAATTTTCCCCATAAGAAATAATGGAAAACCAATTAACTGGTTCCCGGCCCCCAAAAATTACACCTAAATATGTTTTTTTTTTTTTTATCATTTAAACACAAGATGAACAGGATAAAACAAGAAGAGCATATACTGTACTAAACACATCTAAGCACGTTTATCAAAACAATAATTTGTAAAGTAAGAAAATAAATGTATCCAAACAATGTGTAAAGTTAAAAAAAAAAAAAAAAACTTCCTACCCCCCATCCGCTCATTCCGTGTGCCACGCCCCCTCGTTAACCCCGTGTGGGATTCCCGTGTGATCAGCTGTTTCTGGTTGTTGTCATTAGTCCTCTGTATTTAGTCCGCGTTTCAGTTTGTTTCCCCAGTCTGGTCATTTTATTGTCCGTCTGCGTTTTGCCTGCCTTACCTGTAATTAAACCCTGTATCCCCCGATACGTCTGTGCCTTTGTCTCCGTTCTGTCCCCGTTCGGCATGGCAATATTATTATAATTAAAGATATTAATGGTTTATTATTAATGATATTAAAATAAATAATAAGAATTCTTTATTTTTAAATGTATTTTATTATATAATAATTACTGTTACTATCATTGTCTAAATGTATTTTTACTGTCTAAATATATATATACTCAGCTAGTGTAAACATGCATGATGCTATCACACTGAGGCTGAGACTGAAGCATTACCCTTTGTTTCCGCTGAGAGACGTGCCGCATGACTCATTTCCCCACGCGTACAAGTTAACTTAGGTCGGCATTCACGGTTTGACTTCTGAGATTCAGATCGTGTTCTAGGTCATTTTTTTCGAACTGGGTTGGTTTGACTTTTAAGAAATTCAAGTTCTAATGAGTTTGAGTACTGAGGAACCACTGTATATGCATATATGCCATACTGTATATAGTACTATATATACAGTAGATAAAATATAAACCACAGAAAATAAGAAAAACAAAGCAATGCAAATGACACACACCTGACTGATAATCTCAAATGGAACTTGCTCAGTGGACATATTCAAATTTCCACTTACATCACTCATATCTTTTGGCCCATCAGAGGAGAGAAGCATGGCCTCCATAGCAGGAGCATGAGAGCAGGACCGCAATCTGCTGCTCCTTCAAACAAACAAGGGAATGTTTCCACTGCTATTAATGCTAATTTTGTAATATTGATTCACCATTTGTTGGTATTATTTTTGATTTAAAAAATTCTGTAAAAACTTGATAAATCCATATAAACTGCTTTACATTCTGGGTCAATAATCAGTTGTCTGCAATCAATGGGCAGTGGTGGCTTAATGGTTAGGGAGGCGCACTTGTAATTGAAAAATTGCAGGTTTGAATCCCCAGCCAAAGAGGTACCCTGAGCAAGGTACCACCCCCCAAGTGCTGCTCCCCGGGTGCTGAATTAGCTGTCCCCTGCTATGTCACATATGAGTTACATGCTGGGAACACATTTTGTTGTTGTGTGCTGTGGTATGACAACTAATCACTAAATTCTAATAATTGTAACAATAAGAACTACGCTTTTTTTAATGCTTTAATTGGGAAACTGGAAATAGAGGATGTCGCAGACTGTACTTTCTCTAAAAAGGTGATATACTTACTTCTCCATCCAATTCCCTTCTCCCCTCCCCTTTGTTATGATTGGTCAAACAGAGGAAAGAGAGAAGGCTGCATTGCTGGCTCAGCAGAACAAAGCTGAAGAGGAGAAACGTTTACAGATGGAGAAGACCCTCAAAGATGAACGTGAAAGCCATGAGAAGGCAGTTGAGGTGATTAGACAGAAAATGGAGGATGAAGTGGCCCTTCAAAAGAAGGAGTTAGAAATGGCCTTAGAGTGCAAACTCAGAGAGCAGAGGGATCTGATGCAGCAAGGTTTTAAGGCGAAGTCTGATGAAATGGCACAAGCAATCAACAGCCTCAGAGCAGAGGTGGCTTGTGCGAGATCAAACAAATCTTGTAATATCATTTAGTAACTGTGGTCCCTCCTAATTTACTTACTGGATTACACAGGTTTCAAATTAGTTTTATGCTTTTGCAGACAAAATGCAGCAAGGTATTACTTGATTTCATCATTAAATAATGGTTTGATCAATAAAACAACTATATTGAAAGCTCTCTTTGTAATGGCTTTATTATTTATTTATCTGGTTTATGATTCTTTTTGGAAAGTTGTTCACATATTTGACTGTAATCCTGAACAGTACGGATAGAGAGCAGTGTGGTGGCTGCTGACCCCGGGTATCATTTCAGACCTGATGATATGTTACTCATTACTATAAATATTTAGTAAATTTAACAAAATTAAGTACACTATCATTCATTACACCCACATCAAGAGTAGGATGAGAATTTTCAAAGGAGCAGCTATGGAAGAGAGTGAGAAAGAGGCCCAGTGCCACGTCTGATGCGGAAGGCATGACCCAGAAGCAGAACATACAGGGATTTAATATGAATGGGACATGAACAACCAGAAAACAAAGGACCATAAAATGGTGAACAGGAAGAAGTAACAAGGCAGGAGTGGGGTGAACCGGAACACAGGGAAAGCAAACACTGGGAACTAGGAATGCACCAAACAGCAATAAGAGCAAGAATGACTGAGCTGGGAAACACAGTAAGGGCGAGCACATTTATATACACAACTAACGAAGGACTAACAAAAGACAGATGTGGGGGATTGTCACATCAGAATGAGAAAAACTAGGTGATTGCGGGATGGCCAGCGCCCTCTGCTGGCTAGACGGGGACATGATGTCACCCTGGAGCTCCTGTACTAGGTTGTGTTCAGGGAAACAATTTCAGGACAGGGGCATGATAGATGTAACTCATAGGAGGAGAAATACTGTGTCTTAGAGAACATAAAACGCATGGAACAATGTGAAAATGTATACATGACATTATTAGATCTATCTAGATGCTTCAGTCACTTTCTTGTGACTGTAGCTTTCCTCCAGGAGAAGATTATGTCTGATGGCTTCCAACTTTCATCAGACATCCTCCAGTTGGCGGGATGGTCACTGCCCATCTTCTCATAGCTTCTAACTGAACTGCTCTCACTGATTCAAAAGCCAACAATGTTCTCTCTCCATGGCCTCCTCCAGCCTGTGAGCAGCTGTCTTACTTTCTCTTCCTGCTAGTCCCAGAGCTAAGAGTTTTTTCCACACAGACCGTGCCTGGAAATCCACTTAGTAGTACTTAGTTGTTTTCCTTTCTGAGGCCTCTGGGCAGCCATCTTGCCATGGGACAATCAGTTCAATCAGGATAATCCCCTTCACCTCCTCAGACTATATGACCACAGGGGGCTTCAGGATTGTCTACACGACCTGGAGGAAAAGTAACTTCTTTCCCTGCTGCACCCTCATCTCAAGTCCCAAAGCTCTTGTCCTTCACCCTTCCTCCTGGCATGGAACTTGGGCTTGGATCATGACTCACTTCTGCTTTGGGTCCGCTGGAAGTGAGTGGCTCAGAGTCCTGATGGAATTCTAACTTCAGCATGGTTTGGTTAATGCTGCACCACTAATGTGTCAACAAATAAAATGAAGATTACAGTGTATTCATCAGTCCGGTAAAGGGAATACTAGTTATTCAGCTATGTAAAATTGTAAAACCACACATACACACCCCTACATCCTGATCTCTGTGGGCTCAATATGGTTTTACTCAAGACACAAAACTTATGTTCAGCCAAAAAAATCTACCTTTTAATAACACAAAATTCACCTCAGCTAGGGATGTACCCTCTGTAAAGTGATCTTTCATTTTCCTACTTACAAGTATTCCAATGCAAAAAAAACATTATTTAATGACAAAATCAAGTAATGCCTTGCTGTATTTTGTCCACGAAAGCATGAAGATTTCACTTTCTTTCATGCACAGAAATCAAAAGGGATGTTTAATTTTAAACACAGAACTGATATCAGCGCTTTGCATTTCGTGGACAGAAGAAAGTAAATCTTTGGTCAAAATGCCTTTCATGAATGAAAGAAAGCAATTTTGCGCACAAAATGCATTTCATGAATGATACAAAATCATTTTGTGGACGAAATGCATTTTGTGAATTAAAGAAAGTAATTTTGTGGGGAAAAAAAAGCATTTTGTGAATGAAAGAAAGTCATTTTGTGGACATTACAAGGCAGGTTGCTTCCAAGCATTTGTAAGACAGTACTACACAAGAACAATCAGAATACACTAGGAGCGAATGAAAACCAGCCAGGTAGAGAGCAGAAGTGACTTTCTAATTCAGAGATGACCATCAACTTATCCGACAGTGCCTAATAAATTGGAGGATGACATGAAGTGAAGTGCGCTGCCAGGACAAGTTTATAACAGGGTCCCATAAAGCTAAGAAGAAGCTCTTTATCGACAATTGATTGAAAATGCAAATTAAGAGTAACAATAAAAGCTGACAGGACTTTTTTCTGTCCTCCCAAAAGTCACTGATAAATTTCTGGATAGCTAGAAGAACACCACTTCAGTTCCCAAACTCTCCTTAGGGAATTATTACCTTTCCCTTCACCCGAGTCCATATTTTTAATTTTTCTGCCGTTTGACTCATAGAAAATGATCAGATTTCATTTATCCATGTAGTGTATATTGCAGATTTTTGGGTTTTGTTTAATAAATTGGCCAGCAGGTGGTCAGTGCATTATTTATATTGCAGGTTTTTGGTTTTTTTTTTTATAAATTGTCAGTGCTCCATTTCATAAATGCCACTCAGTTAATGCTATTCAAATAACTTTCAGGCCTTATCATGTCTGAATGAACAGCCTAGAAAAGGACAAAGCATTATATTACTACTGTTACATGCAGCAGATCAGCACTGTTGTTATGAATATGTAACAGCCTATGTTCACAAAGCCAGTACAAACTTCCTTTAACTTGTATGATCTAGACTTACCACCTCAGGTAGGATGGTGTCTATATCTACCTACTACTCAGACCATCAGACCCAAACCAGACAGGTTCAGGCACTGTACCAGATGATTCTACATTCTGTCCTACATCTACTGACCTGTCAGACCTACACTCAACAATCTCCATCCTGATTTCTACCTAATACTCGGACCATCTCACCCAAACCAATCCTGTTTTGTCTGACATCTGCTGACCTGTCACACCTACACTTAGGAAACTCCATCCTCTTACAGGACTATGCCAAATCCTACCCACTACTCAGACCATCCGTCACAAGTCTGTCAGCCAGAGGGGGGCACCGTAGCGCCCCCCAAAACGATTCGGTCGTTATCTCCTGTCCTGTTAGTCCTACAATCAAAATTCTTTTTTCTGCAGATACAGACAGCCATGCCCTACCAACTTTGGACTATAAAGCTCCGCCTACTTAGATTTTTTGCTAATTTGCATAATTTGCAAAACTTACTTTTGCTTTAAAGTACTACCCTGTTCGACCAAATCAGGCAAATCCTAAAGTCTCTGTAAGGTATGGCCACCACATCAATTCATATGTTAATTTTCAGCAGTCATCATCCAGCTTGGTGTCTAACCCTAACCAGAATTAGAATTAAGGTTAAAAGTTTTTGAATTGGAATTTTATCTTTTTAAATGCTTGTGAATTTAAATTGACCCCGTTAATGGTCAATTGAGTTGAAATTAGAAGCTCCTGTTTTGTTTGTTAATAAGGAATTTCTTGATGAGTACTATAGTACTATTTGCTGCCTGCCTTATCAGATTTGTATACCTTAAACACTCCCAAATCTAAATGTAAATATACTGTTTCAGTCCCTGTAAAAGACCACAGAGAATCATTTAGCAATGACAGCATTCAATGTTGATGTGTTTAAAACCTGGCCAGGGACAAGGGCTGCAAATTAGCTTAACCAAGACACCCTATCTGCTGTGCATTGCCTAGATTCCTTGTAACAGTTATGTCTGTTTGTCCCTGTTAAATATCAATTACGTTTCATTTACCAAATCCTTGTAATTTTAGTACGTAATAGAATGCTTAAGACTGTTAAGCATTGTTCTAAATTTTGGTTCCAGGCAGAACTCTGCTGTTTGAGGGTGAAAAAGATCATTTGATACCCTCCACTTCCTATCTGCTTTTGGAGAGTGACCTCTTCCTTGTTGCTGGTTGAATGATTGGGCATTCATTCCTGCATGATGGACCTTGTCTCGCTGGACTGAGCCCTGCAATTCTGCATGTGCTCTTTGGTGGTTCAACAGAAGAAGCTACAATAGCCTCCTGAGACCCCACCCATTCATTTATGTCCAGTGTAGTGGACATTTTATTTTTGCATCTCTCTTTTCACTGATGTTAGGAAACATATTTATTCCTGTTGTACATTAAAGAGGACATGCTGTGTAATTAAAAATGAAAATAAATTTGAAAAAATCTAAATTGTAAGATGTGTTATTTCCTCCAAAGACAAATAATCTAAACATAAGAACATAATGCTATTGAAGGACACTGTTTTACCTTGGGTCTCAGGGTGATAGAAATTGCAGACTGTTCAGACCTTGATATCCGTCAGACAGTCAAGCTGGTAAGATTAACTTCATTTAAAAATATACCTATAATTACATAACATTATTTTCATTATATCACAATTGCAGTATAAACTGAAAACGCATACTAAGCAGTACTATGTATGAAAACCCGGGTGTTTCCTCTTGTTTAGCTGGATGGAATGGCAGAATTGTCAGTTGAAGACAAGCATGCAGTTAATGAGTTGGCACTGGCCTGAGATTTGCCTGTAGTCACTTCTGTACGACAAACTACTACTCCATGCTGTGAGTGCTTTGTGATAAAGTACCGCAGCTATTAAATTTCACAGAATTCTGTGTATATATATATAAATAAAATGTAAAATTTGCAGGCTTTGCGTATGCCCCGAATATCAGTGATATAAAAGTTATATATGCCAAATTTCCAGATTGGATAATATTTAGAGGTTGCACACTTTGATCAGTTTTGTAAAAGTAGGCAAAAAATACGATTTTTCAATGTTAATTACTTTTATTAGGAAAACTAGAAATCACAAACTTAAAATAATATTAAAACTAGACACTTAGATTAATAGGTAGTATGATAGGCAAAACATGTGTTATTTTAATCAACTTTGAACGATGCAATCCCTTCTTTTGTTCGCTTGGT